AATAATAACATATAGCGGTAAAAGTAAAAATATATACGTACGCGATATAAACCTACATTTCACTTATTTATAAAAATTGCTTACATATAAAAATTATTTATATAAACTTGTCCTCGTTTAGTTTGTCGTATTTTGCAATAATATTCGTAATTATTAATTCCGTGATTTCACGTGATTTTTCTTCACACGAAAAGAACAGTTTTGCTAATGAATCTAAAAATTTGACCAAATCATACCAAATGAAAATAATTTTGTTGGACTAAAATTATTATGTAGAACGTTTATTACATGTGATAATAATACTGCAAAAATTTTTTATCTTCTAGCAACTAACTTGATCATTACATACATAATAATAATAAAGGCCTAACAAAATTTTTATTTTCAAGTCTGTATCTGGCCAAATTTTTAGATTTGCCAGCAAAATTGTTCTTTTTGCGCAGCTATTGTTTTCCAGGTGTATCCTACATTCGTGTTACCTGCGTCACGATGGCACTCTGCTAAATCGCTTGATAATTAAAGCTCGAGATGCTCTTCTTTATTCATCCGTCGCGTTCGCGCACTCGTGAGCTCGCGCTCTGCTAAATTCAGCATTGGCGCAAAGTAGTCGTCGGAAGCTTTCAACCCATCCACCCCCCGCGGTACGATGCGACGTGTCGGTAAGACCTGTCGCTCTTATGCCTCAGCCACCCCCTTTTTCAGTACTTCACCCCTCTAGGGGAAACTCCCGCGAGAGAATAATGGCGATCGTCATTTAGTCGACTCGGTCGGCGGCGCGGAGGATTTGCATGAAAATTTACCGTCATGCGGAAGCTCCTTCCTGTCTGCAAGATGCAGCTTCGCGCTACAAAGAAAAAAAAGGAGAGAGAGAGAGAGAGAGAGAGAGAGAAATACATAGAAGAAAAAAAAAGAAAATGCCGTCACAGTCGCCAAGTTTCAGGAAATTATTCATAAACTTCAATTTTAACGTTGTCGCGCGAGAGGAAACCTCGTCGCTCGCCGATTATTCTTTCAGACGTCCAAGAGTGCACGTCTCTCAAAATTATCTTTTAACGCGAGATAGAACAACATGTAACGATCGCGTAACGATACTCGGCATTAGCGACATTTCTAAATTACAGTATTCAACATGCAATTTCAATATTAGCAATTATATTCTTTTTTATTCGAATTTCAAATTTCAATACACGACGCCATGTCACATCTGGAGTTGCTCCTCGTTGTTGTACCGATGGTGTTTCTAGGTAAGGAAGGAACATTCATTACCCACGATCGATGAAAGCGCGGGCGCGCGAACGTCGCGCATGCGTGCCGACCGGCACGGCTCGGTGCGACGTCAACGGCGCCGTCAGTCGGGAATATTTCGTCGAACGGATGGTCGGCGGCGATGACGGAAGCGGCGTCAACATGCCGGTGCTTCTCATTCGCGTGATGCGAAAATCCGAGGCGCTCGCCGATCGCGCGTGAGAGACAGAGAGAAAAGGGGAGGGAACGCGCGATGTTCCGCGACGACCTGGCCGTTCTGTGACGCGAATCTCTCAGCGAAATTTCGACGAGTTTCTCGACCGCGGGCGCCCATCATGGCGGCCGTCGAACACAAACTGGACACGAGTGACGGAAATGTGCCGTATCTCACAGACTTCCCCAAGCGGATGCGGCACGGTTGGTTCCGAACCAACGACCCGGACTCGACCCTCACGTGCGACCCGTTGCCCAATGTGAATATTTATCTGTCCGGTAGTCCAAATTGTAGGATCGTTGGTAAGAAAGGCAACCACGAGTGGAACTTTACGATCTTCACAACAGGTAAGTGAGACCGGCTCCGTTTTCTCGGCTCGAGACTCAGCTTTTTCGCCTTTCCGTAGGAAATTATATGTGAGATATGCACTGGCGCTATCAACATCGACTTGTGTTAGTAAACCGCAATTGTGATTGACGAATTCTGTATACGACGCCGTACATTACTTTCATAGCAACGGCAAACGTGGAGACAAACATTTCAAGTTAAAATTCCGGTTTCTTATCGTACTGAGATACGTATCAGGATTGTGCTTTTATGCGCAAAATATAGATAGCCTACATATCACGGAAATGATGTAAGCTATGTGAGTGTTGTGTATAAAATTTTATCAATGTAAACTAACCTATGAATTATAGAAGATTCATATTTCATTTATCTATAGTATATTTTATTTAGACAAATTGATATTTTTATGTGAACCTGATGTGCAATGTATAATGAAAATTTGATTGTACCATCATTTACTACAACTTTCTAATTTTTAACATTATATATTTTTGTTAATACTAAAATTAGATATATTAACAATATTAAAACTTACATTCTTCTTTATTATCTTCTACATTATCCAATTTATAATAATTCACACATTTGTATCTACATGAAAGATTTGTGTAAACAACACGTAATAAAACTCATAGATCTAATCTTAAAATGTACAACGCAACCCTGATATGTATCATGGTATCATATCTCATAATGTGTCATGATAAAGAATCAAATGCCTAATCAGATCTTAAGATAATAAGATTAATATGTTATTTTATACTTCATGATTCATCTGTTTCAACTATTTTGATGAAGATCGACCCATGCACAGTAATAGAGATATATTTCTATTTGCGTCAGCAAGAGATATATTAAATAGAGATGTTACTTAAGCTATCACGATTCACCTATTTTGTTTCTGGCAATCCTTGGCCTCGAAGGTGGCCAAGAGTTACAGAACGTGGCCTTGATATCCGATGATCATCGAGCTAACTTCTTCCTAAAGTCGGTGCAAGACCAGAATGGTGCGGAAATCGGCGTGACAAATGGCCAGGAGTGGTACTGTTCCTGTCCGGATGAGGTTCATCCCCAAAAAGATAAAAAACAATACCTGGTGACGGTCGGTTTCACCGCCGAAAGGCACGATACCTATCGGCAAAATTTGATCTTCGGTTTCCTGAATTGTCCGGGATATCTTCAGAGGATCTGCGCGGACTACTTGGATGCTAAAGATTACGAACGAATACAGAAGGCAACGATTTATCAGCAGTCACAGATACCGTTAAGATGGCAGGACCCGTATCAATTCTATTCGCCCTTTATGCCGCATGCGAATCCGCGGGAGATCAAGCTGTCGCGGATCTACCCGTACCCGGACAAGCAAAACTTCGTTCTCACCCAAGACACGTTGTCGGACAGTCGACTGACGCCACGGAATTATCGGGGTCGCATGCACGAGATGATCACCCTCGAGGAGATTGCCCGGCACGAACAGCTCTCAAGATATAATCAGATTTCGTGGTTACGTCTCATGGCGCATTACGTGCTATTCAACAGCGACGGATCCACCATCGCCAAATACACGCCGCCGGGTGAGCTCTTCGCTCAGGTGCGATCCTTTCTGGCTTCTAGGAGACTCTTCTCCTGCCCGCTGCACACACTCTCCGTTTATTGCGTCCGCGTTCTCTCTCTCTCTCGATCGTTCGTTCGAGTATCGGTTTGTTCGCGTTGTACAGTTTGCCTGGATTTTCTTACGAACACGCATGCATCGCGCACTTTTTCGCATCTCGCGAGTTATCTCTCTTCGCCAAGTTCGCTTAGCTCCCTCGCTCTTTGTTCAAAGTCGAATAAGGAACCCGTCATTCTTCCCTCGCTTCCGCTTATATCAAACGCGTGAAATTTATTACACCGTAGATTCCACTCAGTCGGGACATCTTGGAGGATACGCAGAGCGGTAGGCTTCTACAGCGCAGTTGTAATAGCGTTTTCCTCAAGTTATGGCGGAAGAAAGCAAAGTACGACGTTTTTGAAGCTCACATCGAAGACAAGAGCTCGCACTTCGTGTACGTTCGGCTGAGCAAAGAGTGCGTAACCTTCTGGGACTTGGAAGCGCATAGCGAGCTCGAGGTGGAAGTACGATTCGTGTTGAACCGCCTAAACTTCTGCGAGTGGCATTTGGCGGTAGATAGCCTCGAGGATATGGACTTGGTTTTCTTGGTGAACGAACATCGCAAGACCAACGATGAGATTATTGGTGACTTCCTGCAGGTAGACGCCGGTAATCTTAGTATCTTCTCTAGTCTACTTCTGGACTCGCCGCTCAATCAGGAACAAAAGCAAGCAGTTACCGCGATAACATTGTCAATCAAGGTCCCTTCACCACCGGTTCTCCTGCTAGGCCCATTCGGCACGGGGAAAACATTCACCATAGCGCACATGTTACGTATGCTCGTGCAAAATACGAAGAATAAGATACTTCTGTGCACGCATAGCAACAGCGCCGCCGATCTTTACATCAAGGAGTTCTTCCATATCTGGTACAGTTCGGATAAGCATCCCAGGCTTAAACCTGTTAGGATATATTACAAATTGCGTGCTTTGAACACGGTAGGTGAACAACGTTGTGAACCTAGTTTCTTGAGCATTGCAGGGAAACTTAAGTCTCTCAATGGCGACTCTTGGTTATTCTCGCGATTTAGGTGCATCCGGTGGTGCAGCAATACTGCCTAATGGACGAACACGGTCGCTTCCGCGATCCGGTTGCGGAAGATCTTCAGAATTGCGGTCTAATAGTGACCACGCTGGCGACCTCCAGCTGCTTGATGAGTTTAAAACTATCACCGACTCACATAGTCATTGACGAAGCGGCACAGGCCATGGAGTGCGAGGCATTGGTAGCTCTGACTCTGGCGAGCCGAGAGACTCGCTTACTCTTGGCGGGCGATCAGATGCAACTCGCACCGGAAATCTACAGCGTGCTAGCGAGCGAACGAGGACTAGGCGTTAGCCTTCTGGAGAGATTATTCGCGTATTATCCGCTGGAACATCCATGTCGAATACATCTATGTCAGAACTATCGCGCACATGCGGACATAATCAAGTATACATCCGAAACATTTTATGACGGGATGGTTAAGCCCGCCAACATGCATCTCCTGAAGCATCCGGTTATGAAACCGCTGATATTTTATGCTGTTAACGGTGTAGAAGAACAGGTACACGAATCACTCAGAAAACGCTGAGAATATGTACAATTGAAGAGCTTTGTGTAATGTGTCTGTAAAGAAAATACATGTTTCGTGCAGTTTCGAATTATTTGTCGAAAATTAATGTATATATTAAGGAAGGATATATTCTTATCGCAAATTTTTAACTTTTTTTGTCCAAAATTCAGCAATTGGAATTTTTTTGCATTAAACTCTTCAATTGAATTTTAAAATAAAGAAAATATTGAATATTCGATTTCTAATTCGATTTGTTAGGCTACATGTTCTACGGGATACCACCATGTTACGGAGGCGGAAGAGGTAGCGAATCGCGTCTTGGAATTGAGGAGAGCATGGCCGACGCAACAGTGGGGCCCATACAACGAAGGTTCCATCGGAGTCTTGTCGTATTATCCTGAACAAGTACAACGATTGCGAATCGAATTACGCAAACGCTTGCTTTTTGACGTGTCTGTCGAGAGAGTGTTAAATGTCCAAGGCAAGCAATTCACCGCGGTTTTCATCAGTACAGTCCGGACGAGGATATCAGATAGGTATCGATTTTAATACGGATATTAAAACATTTCAGGTAACACTTGGACACGATCTCGAGTGTATTAATTGTTACAGATCATCCGCCGAGGTGAAAATCAAAGATTACGGTTTTTTAACAGATCCACGTTTGTTAAACACTGCATTGACAAGAGCAAAGTGTTTCGTGGCAGTTGTAGGCGATCCAGTCGCTCTACTCACTATAGGTTCCTGCAAAGATCTTTGGAAGAAATATCTGGACGTGGCTGATCTATACGGAATGGACCGAAAAGAATTGCAGACACATCTGAATCAGGTTTCGAAAATCCAAATCTCGCCTTTGAATCCGCACGCGAGGGAATTTTTTCCCAGAGCGCCGCCCTTGTGCTTTGTCCAATATATTCAAGTGCCGATTTGGTATCCGTTAATTTATCCTCCACAACAGCCAATGTGATGAACACGATTATATGCGGAAATATGACATTCGATAATTTTCGTCTCGGGACACGACCGTCCGTTTCAAGACTTGAAATCATTACGTTTTGCAGTTACTACTGTCGGCCCTTCCTTCGATCGTATCGATCTCCACAAATAAGAAACTATACTTGAACTTCTACACGTCTATATTGATTTATGGTTCTTCAATTTTTGTTTGTATGATTGTATGAATGTTATGAGTTGTGTGTGTATGTGTGTGTGTGTGTGTGCGCGCGCGCGCGCACACACACACACACACACACACACACATATAAACTGTATATGTGTCTATTATGTAATGTTTATGAAAACGTGTGTATATCAAAAGCAGTGAAAATGTGGCAAAAATGTTTTTATTCCTTTTGGTGTGCGAACAAATTGTAAACTAACAAATTGATAATAATGAAGCATTATGAAAATATACATGATTTATATCTCGAATCTATTTGGTATTGACAAGTTTGCAGAGTGTCTTAGTACACTTTCGTTTAAACATTTATATGGCACAGGCATAATTTCGTGTATACATGTAACATTTAATATGTACAGAACGAGAGCTCCATGATGAACTTATTGTATCTAGATTTTCTTTAGATTTAATGGTCATCATTATCGATTATAAGACGCGATGTATTTCTTAATAAAAGATATATTTTCTATAACTTTATTCTTATTTAATAAGAATAAAAATATAATTTCGTAGAAAAGATCCAACTATCTTCAGTAGTATTTTCACTACTATTTACTTACCGACTTTTCTTGAAACCCAACGTCACCGTATCCCGAGCTACGCGCTCTTCACGATGATGCTAATGAACGGCGTCTAAAGTGTCGCATGTTCAATTTTCTCGTATTAATAACGCGATGATATAAGAGGAGGTCGGGGAGGGATGGTGTATCGGGACGATATACGACAGCGATAGGTACATCACCGATACACGTCCCGGGTATTGTCTCATGCCTAAAGGCAAAGCACGTAGACCGCATGTACACGCAGACACGTATGCTACGTGCATCTTCGAATATTCGATACGTAATTCTATGCCGCGACTTGTCCTCCCGCGCGATCCGATCTGCCGCTGTTAGCAATATCATCCTACAGAATATCCGTATATTGACGCTAATTGAACGAGCTCCCGTCCAAGAGTACTGCGAGGTACCAGGTTATACTCTCGATGCAAAACTATGCGCGTTAACATTATAGTAATTTATTTTAATTATAATATTGATCGATTGCAACGTGAGGAAGGATTTGATTGAAATGTCGGACACAAAGAAGAGCCAAAGTTGTCGTCTAAATCATCGTTAATTGAGGGTTGATAGATAGTACACGTTTTCTTAAGATTCGAGCCCTTTTTTTTTTTACTACCGGAAAGTTCACGATCGAGATTTTGTCGAAAGTAAGCGAAGTTTTATTAGAAAAATCTTAAGCTTGTTGAATATTCAACCTTATCGCGGAAAATGCAGCTATTCTCGGAGGACGAATTTCACGCGGCGCATACCGCGCGATCGATTTCCCGTGCGCTGCGAAAAGGAGAAATATTACCGGAATTCCGTCGATAATTCCAATCGTGTTTTCCCTAATTACCGGGAAATTAAATATATAGATAGACTATGCGTACGAGTACGCGAGTTTACGTGCAAATGCATGGGTCGTTTCTTTATTTCAATTGGACCGATTATCTACGAGAGATAGATCCGACATGAATAACTTCTTCGATCGATCTCTGCTTTTATGCACATTTTATCAAGCACTAAAATTTTAAAGGAGGAGGATCTCTTTTGAAATCGCGTTGATGTTTGCGAAATTGATTAACGTAAAAGTTGACGGCGCATTTTCGAGCCTTTTAGCGTACACAAACTACCAGGCAAAAACGACATGCGCCTCTCTGCTTCAAACGTCTGTGAATCAAGAGTCGCATCATCGCGGCCTTTGGGATGATAACAAAAAAGAAAGGGGAAAAAAAAAAAAAGATACGAGAAGAGAAAAAGGGAGAGTCGCGCGGTACTAAATGGCAATTAATAAAAAGTAAGTACGAGAGTATCGACGTAAATGAGGATGCTCGAGGAAGACTCGTTTCTGGAGTTCGCCTACGCGACGCTCTCGAATCGACGATAAAAACAAATCGATCCTCGGGCGAGACGTTTAATTAGAAGCAAATAGTTACAGGGCGCGGACGCGCTTGTGATAGAACTTTGTTATCTTATCGGAGCCAATTACAACGGCGCTTTCTCTCTCTTCCTCCCTCCCTCCCTCCCTCCCTCCCTCCCTCTCTCCCTCCCTCCCGAGGGAGCGCTCGAACGGCCACTGGCACCACCGTAATCGCGATTATTAATACCAGTAATGGCGCTTCCGGTAGTTGGCGCGTCTCGACCCGGCTCGTTTGTCCCACGAATTCCGCTAGTTTGAAAATTCCGCTTACCTACGTAACCATCGAAGGCTTTTCCTTTTGTTAGACCACCACATCAGACCGACTGTATACCCGTATTCGCTCGTGTCCTGTTTATCCCTCCTGACATGTAAATGATACCGTAAAGTTATCGCGAGAGTGCGAGAAATGCATCTCGATCTTATTATTCGCGCGATATTTCCGATTACTTTCTTTAATCGAATTAGTTTCGCTGTCTAAAAAAAATAATAGAAATTTGAGGATCCAATGAGCATTTCACTTATTTTCGATGCAAATATTTATATTTTGCTCTTCTGTATTATAACTGACTGATCGCGGTCAGTAGAAATAAATGTTCCTTTAAAAATTGCAGGGAAAGAATGATTTTGCTAAAGTGTCGAAAAATCAGATATAAATCTGAAAAATAACTTTATGGACGTGTAACAATTATGTAGAATGCTCAATAATGATAATATTATAAACATTTTTAATATTTTGCGAGCAATGCCCTGCAAACATATTTTGGTAACTCGATAAAAATATTTTCAGATGTATCTGGTCCAATTTTTAGATACTTCAACAAAACTGTGAGCGATCACATTGTCACGGTTCTTAAAGTTATGCGTTTTTCGGATGTTTAGATATTCGCTTTTATATTTTCACGGAAAACACACGGATGATGCATATCAGACCAGAGTAAATTTTTAAAAGTCATATCTTACTGTTAATTTCGGAAGATTTCGATAGATTTTTCTTTTCCAATTTTTTTATGAATTTCTAAAGCCTAACGAATATTACAGTTTCTGAAATTATTCAAATGTTTAATCAATCGGAGTAGATAGGAAATAAATGTGACAACAATATTCAGACAAATATTTTCGTTTAATAAAATAATTTAGAAGAAAAGACGATAGTTGATTTGAGGAAGCGAAGCGAAGCGAAATGTTAATGTGAGGACACAAATAAGACGCGCTTGTACTTAAAAACAATAAAAGTATTAAATTTTAGTATTTAATTTTATCTAATTTTATCTAATTTTATTTAATTTTATCTAATTTTATCTTAGCTAATATATTTTAATTCCGACTAGCTCGAAGATACTAAAAATATTTTTCCATATGTAACAAGAAGACTTTCAAAGCTTTCTATATGAGTTGTTATTTTTGAAAAAGATTCTCATATATCTATGAAACAATAATTATTATAAATTTTAACTCGTATTCAATTTTAATATTCGAATTCGAGTTTTACACTTACCGTTTACACTTTTTATTTTTAAAGTTACTGTTTATACCCATACTGTTTCCGACGATCCAACATTACTGACTGACACAATCTACCATCAACTGTCTCCTTCCAGTAAATCCTCGGTAAACGCAGTGCTATTCTTATTAACTGCCCGTCAGTGATAATACCCTAAGTCCACTTAAGGGAGTAGTTAAACCAGCGAAATCTCGATGTCTCGGACGTGCGTTTCGCGTCAGCCCACGCACCAATTTGCATGCGCGTGATCGCGAGGTCGGATAAACGCTACGGTCCGAAAATGCTACTACCCTCGACTCGGGGGGGGGGGGGCGCAAGCGCGGCCGTCTCGTGAGCGAGATAAGAAGCTTTTAATATCCACGAACGACTTACGGAAACTCGTGCAATTATCTCGAGAGATAGGGCGCCCATTTCGCGACGATTGCACAGAAACGAATGGGCGAGTGCCGAACGACGACTTATATCACACACGTACGTATGTGGGCATCCACATACGCCACTTCGAATTCGGATTGCCGAATGAATAAAATTTCGAATCGGGCATTAATTCGACACCAGCTGAACCGAAACTCGAGCGCGATGTGTTTACGTACTCTAATAATATTCGATTTAATAGTTCGTAACAATAATAATAATAATAGTTTATATAATTCTCGCGCGCGGCGGCAACCCGCTCTCATCTCCATCAAGCTGCAAGTTCGATGAAGCAGCGAATTTTTGCAGGAAAACGCGGGCCTCTCTCTCTTTCTCTTCCGTAAAATTATATCTGCACTCCAACTGGTCTCAGATGTGCAGTCTTGGAGCGCACGATAAGCAGTGCGGAAGCGCAAACTCGCGCATGTACGTTATCTCCATCGGTTTTGCATACACGTTCGCTTTCAGTACGCGCGCGCTCTGTGTGTGTGTGTGTGTGTGTATGTGTGTGTGTGCCTTCGAATTCCACTCATATGAAATGGCTATCCCGTGACTAGATTGCGATTGCCGAACTTTGAACATCCATGCAAAGCGAGAAGCGAAACGGTGGAGAGAAAAAGAGAGGAAGAGCCAGGTGCGCCGGCAGGCAGGCAGAAGGGAAGCCCGTTCAAATCGGCCGATATATTCTTCGCGAATGATTTTCCCCGCGCTACGTATTTGATAGTTCGACTATGATGGACGGCTACGATGGTTGATTTATCGCCGGCTCGGAGAAATCCCGCTAGGTCGCAAACTCCATTTCGCCATGAATAATTATTCGCCAGATAATGTGGCCTGATTTGAGACGAAACTCGAGAGGGAAACTCGTTGTCGTTACGTAGCGCGTCATCGAGGACGAACGAGCGAAATATTCGGATCTATCTGGTCTTGTCCCACATACACATACATATGTAATATTACGAATGAAACGAAGTGCAGTAAAAAATTACGTATGATCAGCTTCGAATTGCATAATCGGTTGAGGTCTCTGTTGGTCCGCAAAGGATTACTTTCGCACGCAAAATGATCTCAAATTGTTGGGGATTTTTTTTTCTTCTTCTTTTTTTTTTTTTTTTTTTTTTTAATTGACGACAATACCGCCCGTCAATTTACTAACGCGTTGAAAAGCGATCCCTGTCCGCGGGTTTTCGATCGATTCTGGAATTAACGGGCAAAATTTGCACAGAAGCGAGCTGCGGTCCGCGGCCCACGTAGAATTTTAGCTGCGTGGAATCGCCATGCGATCTGATTGCGATCTGATCGGCGGGTTTTTGAATAGCTATGGAAAATCGAATCGGAAGCGGGGTGAGAGTAAAACCCCATATGCGACACGATGCGACAACGACACGACGGGCACATGCTCCTCATCGTGTCCGCGTGTCCGTGACAGGATTTTCTCGAGAGCGAGTCGCGCGCAGTTCGTCGACGGTGTGTTAAATTCCGCACGGGATCTCGTCCTACATAAATGTCGCATATGAAAACTTTCCCGTTGTCCCGCGCGTATTACTCCGATCCGCCGGCCGTTTCCCGACAGAGAAATGCCTACCCTAAACTGTCCCTTAGATTATGACGCTGCACCGCGCATTGTTCCATATAAATCAAAAAGCAGAAAGGAACGTAAAGTTGCGCCTTCCCTCTCCCGAAAGTTTAAATTACGAATAAAATAAACTGAGTTTGTGAAATAAATTAATTAAATAAATTTAATGAATTCAGTTTGAAATAAATTAATTAAATTAATAAACTCAAATAAATTTCAAAGATTACGTGAATTAATGTGGATTCCTGACATTTGCTTTTTCTGTTCTCTTTAACGATCGTACTTCTTACTTTATAAATTACGAGGCTTGTTTGCCCGATTACAACCACCGGTAGAGAGATAATTTTTTCGCTTCCTTGCTTCTCTACCGGCACGATATTACGATTCCGGATAAATGGACTTGGTCACTTTGGGATTCAATTTTATGATTATCTCTTCAGCACAAGTGTTACCGATTTTAGTCGCATCGGGATCCGATCTTAATGCATTCATCCTTTTCTTATTTCTTTTCGCCCCATTTCCTTCCCCATCCGCGGAAGGTGGTCGAAGGCATCGGTATCGAATCAGGCAGTATGCCAAATCGTACCCCGCGGGGAGATAAAGAAAAAAGAAAAAGACAATCGGTCGGGGCGGGGGCCATTCGCGAAAGAGACTCGAAATAGCCCACCTTCCTTAATCGCTTCTCGTTTTAACGGCCCCTTTTGAGGAAAATGGAACGGGAAAATCACCGTGCCGATAAGTGCCTCGATGAACCATTTCATCCCTTCATGTTCGACGGCGTCGCAATACAACTTTTTTATCGCGTATCATTTTTTTTTTTTCCATTCGATTTAATTAACGCAGTGCTGCACCGATCGGTAACAATTTTCGCATGATATGTCATAATATAATAAAGTCAAATGACGATATCCAGGGTAGTCGAAAAAAGTTTCAAATTCGATTATTTGCATTTATGTATCGATGGGAAAAAAGAAGAGAGAGAGAGAGAGAGAGGAATGTAACGGGGGCTCGACGGCGCGAGCAAAAATTATTTCTGTAGAATGATTCGTTACATGTGGCTGATCAAATATCGGTACACCGAAGATACATCGAACGAATATACACGCCTGGCGTAATGTTAAAAAGGGAAAATAAATAGGAAAAAAAAGGGACTGCAGCATGCACGGCGGGGTATCCGTACCAATAACGGTAGCACAAAGAGCGGCAATCTCCCATATCCGTGGTAAAAACGAGGAAACGACTTCTGGCGCGGGTTACGCAAGACACAGAAATATATTGGAAACCTCTCGGAGCTAAAAATACGGGTGCGCTTTCTTTGTGACGTTAAGGAAATTCCGGGATCGACGAAACACCCCAGCTAGCCGCAAAATTTTTCGACGAGCAGTAGTTGCTGTCTTCATTAACGGAAATCAAGGGGAGCTACGCGCTCGTAAAAAAAAAAAAAAATCTCATCGCCACTCAAGGATAAGGATAACTAATTCTTATTCGGTTACTCTTTACCTTCTCAGAGTCGCCAATCGTTGCTCCTGCGCCGTGATGTATCCGTTCAGCGTGTCGATCAACACAGCTTCCGTTTCGAGCAGCTCCTCCATATCCGCCAGGGCGGTGTAAAGTTCAGCCGCGGCATCGTGTGTCGTCGCCCACAGCAAAATCGTTACGACGGTTAACAGACTCGCCTTCCTCATCTCCGAGCGATACTGTTAATCAAACAGAGATTTACAAACGTATTATTCATAAATATGTTTACATGATATGGTGATCACAAATAAATCCATGATTGCAAATTTTATTTATGAAGTTGCATCATATATAAATTTCGTGATTATAATTAAATATTATATATATATATATATATATATATATATATATATATATATATTAAATATATTAAAATATTTTTGCGAAGTCGAAGACGCTTTTATTTCTTTAATTTCGATTTAATTATCCCTGGCGTATCGTCGATAAATTCTTGATATGTTTTGAACAGAATTTTGACGATTAAATGTAAAAATAGATATATTGGGATGCCTTTCGCTCTTTACTTTTTAATAAGAGACAATTTGAATTTTTAATAGAATTTTTGAAATTCATTGCTATTTAGAATTGTGAAGAAGATACGAGAAGGATTTTATCTGCAAATGCAATTTAAAACATTTCCATCCAAGAAACAGAAACTTGTTAGAAAATTTTTAAGAGAATTTATTCTACAAATTAAACATCGAAATTTTGAATATTTTTATATATATGGAATATTAATTTCATAAAAATTGTTTAAATTGACGTTGATTAGTATATGAAGAAAATGAATTCAACATCCTATTTTAAGAGAACTTTTCCTACGTTCGATCGCGCTTAATTCCAATTCATCTTCCGCATCGTCATTTTCATTTCCGCCTCATTAAAAATTACGAGGAGATTATTCAAGCCATTATTCATACATCATTCAAATAACAATTTACACTTCGGTATAGCCGCGTGTGCTCATCTCGTTGAAGTTTCACATCAACTTTGAGTACCAGGACAGAGTTGCGGTTTCGCAGACACACATAGACTCGATCCCATCCCCGCGGGATTCCATTGTTCCCGGTAAAAGACTGACGCGAAAGCCTGGAGCCGCCTGGTACTTTGGCAGGCGCCGAAATTTTCCCACGAAAAGCGGAAACTCGTAGCTTCGCCGTCGAAAGTCGCGGACGAGGATGATGACGTGTCACCACGAACGGTGGCAAATCTGTGTGTTCGCGCGTGTTTGTGTTGCGAAAAGTTGCGGCTAGCGGGGGACCGGAGTTTGCGCTGATCGTACAACTTACACCTGTCGGATCGGACGATTTATTCCGTCACGCCGGCGATGGCACGTAAACTTTTCTCCCATCCCTCCATAATCCGCGTCCCTCTTCTATCCCCTTAAGCCACCGCAGCCGATCTCTCTCTCTC